GCAGAGTCAACTGGACAAAGTTAAGTACAATCAATGGGCAGTGGCCAGCGTCATGTTTATAGGCCTATAATGAACCAACCGCAGACACAAACCTTTAGAGAGTCACAGATCTGAATATACACAAATCTGCAGTCATAGCAGAGAAACAACACAAGTTTCACTCTGTAGTGAAGGTGGCTTTTGTTAAGCGAAGCATGGCCTTCCTTCTTCCGAGGTAATGCTGGCCACAGACATGACGTGTTATATGGAAATCGGAAGTAGTAGTTGGATAATCGCGACCAAATCCAGAAGCGTTTCCCAAAAGAGTACGCGCGTTTTATGGAATAACGTCACTCGAAGTAAAAGTACCCAATGTTTTGTACACGATGACCACGAAATGAACTTATACCGGGATTCATGTTGGCCGCTAGGCGAAATTTTACCAAGTACGGGGCTAAGGCGTGTCTGTGTTTTGGAATATTGAGCCGTGTAATCTGTTATAAATTGGCCGACGTTTCAGAGGTGCTTGCTGCCTGTGTCGTCAGAGCAGTGAAGACCTCTGAAATGTCGGTCATTTTCTACCAGACTACATGGCACAGCTTTCCATAAGACAACCATTTCCCGATTTAAATGGAACTTTTTCGATGTTTGCCAGGCAGGATTGGTAATAACCAAGTTTAAGCGATACTAAGTTCAAACCCAGACATGGCACTCCTTCAACGCGACCTTGCTGCATGTAAACCACAGATGTAAACGGTGTCAGCTGGAGGATGTACTGCCAGTTCACTTTCTCTGCTGTTATTACGGTAGAGAGGTTGGCACCGCATGATTGACCGTGTTGGAAAGTGAAGGTGAGTTGTGTCCAGCGACCCGAGCGAAACACCTTGCCCAACCCGCATGAGTCAGCTTCTGGTTTCGTACCTTTGTTACATTCGGTGATACATGGCAGCGGGTATGCTGTCACCATTGGCTGACGTCATTGTAAGATTATGAACCGTGACTGGCCACGGACTGACTTCAGTTCCTGGCAGGAACATTTGTAACTTTTCTAACCGTATCTCGGGGCTCCACTCAAGATGTCGGAGCGTAACTTTAGCCATGAAGATGCAGACAGTATGTTTATCCGAAACGTTGGCATCTATCGACGAGTCTGCACGGCACCAAAACCCTGGATAGCATCACGCCTAAACGCGCCTAAAACATTCCAGGCATAAACAACCAGTTGTGCTGTTGGTTTGTGCTTTGACTAGGCGTGCCCAGTGTGATCACAAATGAAATAAATTGCATCTTGATGACCTGCAATCAGAACAAGAGGTATAATTTTAATCAGCGCCCACTGGCGTATCAGTTAGGCAATCCAAATGGCAGAGGTGTAAATTGAGTTGCATATGCGGCGAGTATTGTCGCGGTCTGTAAATCACCCCTCAGTATTGCAATTGGTAAGGCAATTACGACACCTTAAATGTTTTTACAGTGACCGCCAGCGAAGCACTCGACCGAAGTAGTGACGAAGCTTGGCGAATAAGCTGTTCATTTCCATTCCGAAGTCTCTAGGATCGAGTTCAGGCGAGTTTTACAGCATACGTTGTCCAGATACTGTATTAAATGAACCCAGTCACATGCATTGTATAAGTTATTACACACGGAACAGACCCCAAGGAACCAAACCCAAATCATGACAGTGAAGTGCAGACGCCAAATAAACTGAGCCAGACAATAACTCCCATGTAATTCAGCAAAAAATAATTTTTCTGTCGATATAGTGTTATTAAATATCTATGAGCCAGCAATATTTTTCGCTTCTACCATCTTCAGTCTTACTGGTTCAAGATTAACGATCACTATAATCATCCCCTTCCGCCATTAGTGTGAGAGCAAATAACATGTTACATGAAAGAGTATGATAATATCGTTTCTGAACAGTTGTGTTCACTCGCATGCAGGAGCCCGTTATTTGCAAGACTGCATGAGAGCGGAACCTCTACACTCTGCTTGCTGACCCAGCCCCATTTCTGTCACTTCTCGAATTTCTAACACACACCAAATCATATATACGGCCCCCCATTAAGGATATATATAAAAAGTGAAAATTGTTCTTGCTGTCAGATATTAGTCGCTCATTTAGTCATGTGAAACAAGAGAATGTTGGATTTACTCTCTACTTTCTCAGATCCTTTATAACAACAAAACCTTAATTTCATTAGGTTCTAACATAATATTCAAAATATGTCAATAACTCCATATGCTCTGCTGAACGTTAAAGTTTTGAAAAATAACTTTTGTTTTGGGATCGGTTTGGAAAAAATGTGATTTGACTGTGCCTTTACTTTTCAGCATAACATTAAAGTGATGATAACAACCACTTTCCACATTCAAATGAAATCAAGAAGTAGTAGATATCAAAACAAACTTTAGTCTGAAACGTCCTTTTAGTATACGTCTGAAAAAAAGGAGAATTGTTACTCTATTTGATTCTCTTTTCTTGATTCTGTATAATCATGTGGTAGTAAGCAGAGCATGCCTCTAAATTACACTTTTTTTAAATATTTTTGGCATGCTTCGGAAGTGTCTAAATTAGCGTTGTTTAAATAGAGCATACATACAGTAGTTCTGTAAAAACATTTATGGTCACTTGTTTAATTTTCTATGGAGTGTTAAAGAAAGATTTCTATGTCTACAATTTATGGTTACATATCATTGCCAGGCCACACAATTCTGTGAACTTTTACAAGTGTTGTACTGTACGTAAAAATCAATAAACAGAAGTTAAACGTGGACTTAACATTTCTCCTCTGAGTTCACCTTGACCGTCAGTGATCAATATTAAAGAAGGCAAAGATAAATTAAGAAACAATTAAAATCGCTTTCCAAATGAGCCCATTTGATATAACAACAAAGAAGGGATCGCTGTTTACAGACATTTATTTTCCTTACCAGTAGCTATGATATTGAATAAAGCAAGAGTCCCCAAACATGACTTGCAGACTGAATGACACTGTGAAGTGAATCAGCCCTGTCTATATGCAAGTACAGTTAATCATTTCCAGCACGCAATAATTTCACTTTCAGTGATTAAATTATAACCGTGATTATTTATTGCAGAGAACTTAAAAACAACACCTTTTATTAAATAAAGAAAATTGACTTATGTAACATATTCTTATAACAAACTGCCTTACAAAATTTGTCAGACTCATAAAAAATGCAAGTGGACATTGAGTATAGTGGGCCTAGAATATGTTCCAAAACTAGCCAAAAATTATAAAATTCTAGATAAATTAAAGTAGCCACACATTCTTCTAAATTTAACTTTGTTTTCGTCTCAAAGTCTTGTCATTTTGAGGTTCTCATGGCAGTGAAGATCTTGATTGTGATCTTCTGTTTTGTGACACTATGGTTCCTTATAGATGATCACCAGAACCCTGAAGATGGAGGCAGTATATTCCTCCAAAATGTTGATACCCACCTACAGGACTATGTAGTATCACATACGCAGAAGGTCACGATCAACAACCTTATCACAGTTTCAAAATCAATATAATCAGTGATTCATTTTGCTTATCAGACAACACAAATTAGTGACTGACTCATCATATGACTCATAGCTCGTTTAGAAAATTAGCTTTTACGTAGAGCTAGCTAGTGTGATAAGATAATACATTTAAATGCCTTTTACTTATGTTTTCTATAGTCTTGTATATTATACAGTTTTGGAAAAATACAGCTTGAACAACTGCAAGTCATGAAATAAACTATGCTACTTGATAAAGGTTCTGCAGGACTTTTATAAATACAAATAATCTAAATGTTCACTTTTAACTTATTGAAGTGAAATGAAGTATGGAACTCAGGAGATTTCTTGGCTCATTTTTACTTTTTCCTCTTATTCCTTATGAGTTTTTCTATTTTTATAGTGTTATCATTCTTGTGCCCCATAACTGCTGATCATTTCATTGCTGTTCCCTCAAATTTCTCTCTATTCCTTTTTAATTCTTATTATCCATCATATTTTTCGTTTTCTGATTCCACATTTTTGTTATTGTCCAATAAATTTATTTTGACCTTTAAAATAACTGAAACAGTTTATTTTGTTACCTTGACATAACAAGATGAAATGATTTTATTAGAAATAAGTTTAGAATTTTTGAAAATATTGTCTTGTTATATACAGCTATTAAAGTAAAACTAACAACTATATTTCTGTTTGAGATTAGAAATTAAATATATTTTCTTGAATATTCCGATCTTGGACAAATTAATTCACTATTATATTCTAATTGCATATACAGTATAGATGTTGCAAGTGTTATTACTCTACACAGAATTGCTAATTTTTCTACTTTTCCTGAATCCAAAGACCTTGTAGATGGAATCTAACTGTTAGAAAAAAAACCGTACAGGTGCAGGGAACGTGAAATTATAGCCGTGTTCTGCTTTGGAGCTTGTTCGTTAAACTGTTAATTGTTCAGGCTGTAAAAGTCAGCAGACAGAAACTTCATTACGCGGTGCATTGTGCCATGAAGTTTCAAGCAAGATAATATGATATTCCTTGAGGTGTCTATCACTCTGCATCTTCTTATACACACCCCGGATCATTCTGTCACACAGTTTTGTGATTGTCTATCTAGAGTAATTTATCTGTGACACTGATAAAGACTTTGTAGTATGTGTCACATTTAGTAACCTTTGGGGATTTTTCAAACTACAGAAGACCTGTGTTATGTAATTCTTGTTAAATAAAAGAAAGCCAGTTTTAAAATTATGCTTAGTGTTCATTGCATGCTCATTAATGTACCGGCTTTGTTTATTGTCCTTGTAAATCCAGTATTTAAATAAGTAATTACTAAGAATAGTTTATGTATTAATCTGAAGACCAAGTTTGTTTTTGTTACAATTAAGGAGCAACTAGCGAGAACATGGATTATGTTAAAAAGGTTTTTAGACTTACAAGAACAAGTAATTACATTCAAAAAACTAAGTCTCCCATGTCTTGAGCTAATAGTGTTGCGTTACTATTATGAATGATTACGCCAGGTAACAGTTGGCAGGTGAGTACCAGTGACCTTGATGAGTAGCAAAAATATTTATCTGAGGTCAGCTTGTGGTGTGTTAAGAGGTATTCCACATCCCAGTAATGTAAGAAGAGCACAAGAATTTACTGATCCAGTTACAAGTTGAAACAATGCTCATGAGAATGAACCGTGGGAAGTAAATATGAAACCAGGTGTTCCTCTTCATTGGAATGCTTACTTCCTGTTAGACTATAATTATACTTTTTATGACAAACAAAGAATCATGCTGACCTACTGGGATATATAAACTAATAGGTTAAAGAAATATTGTATTAAGTACTATGAGAAAATAATGGGATGAAGCTAGTTTTGGTAAAGTGTTCTATTACAACTTAAATATTTAAATGAAAATTACCTTCAGTTATCTTACATTTATATGCATTTTCATATGAAGTGAAGAAAGTTTCTTCCCTAACATAAAACTTACATTTTGATATCTGAATAATAATGTGTACAAAAAGGATTTTTTTTTGTACAAATCAAAGCTTTCTTGAACATTTAGTCATTTCCAAAGACAAGAGTTAAATATTTTGGGCTTCTTTAACTATTACTTAAAAACATAATTTATGACACTCCAGTTTTTCGTTTCTTCTTTGTGGTAAAGCAGGCCTTGAAGTTTATGTAAGAGTTTTGAATTATTACAGTTACGGTGACTAAACATTCTATTGGAGTCGAGATCAACACCTTGCAGTTCCTTGTCTTAAGACCATGTTGTTGGGAGGGTATAGGGGTTCTCAACCCACAGCCCATAAACTGTATGCATCCTGCCAATTTGTTTTGTGCAGCCTTGTACATTTTTGCAATGTTGTATCATTCTGTGTAATGAAGAAATAGTTACTGCCTAAATTAATATATAATTTTAATTGAAGAGTTAATAAAAATTACTTATTATACATAGATAATTGTTAAGAAAGAAGAAGATTTTTTTTTTTTCGAGTCCACACAGTCAGAATGTGACACGAGATTGCTTGAACTTCAAGCAGACATCAGGGAGCTAAATAAAACACTAGTAGAAAGAGAGACAACCCTCAGACAGACTGAACGTGAGAAAACAACTCTTATTGCTGAACTGGCAGAACAGAACCAGAGGCTTACAAATCAACTCAAAGAAGTAAGTGTATGAGAAATTTTTCTTGTTAGGAAATTTCACCTGAGTCAGACTTTGTGCAGTTGGTTCCAGAAAGTAAAATAGTTTTAGCACTCCAACTTCACATTCAGAAGTTTCTAGTTTCAAATTTTGACCTGGAGACCAGGCATAAAGATTTAGATTTTTGCATTTGCTTACTTGCTCCAGGCATGCTGCAGATAAGTACTTTCTATCAAATTGTTTCTACTTCATTGTCCTACCATTTGATGATATGTAACCTATGTAACTGAAAAAGTGATATTAAAAAACAACATCACATAATTCTGACATGCACCATTTGTGTTAACCAATGCCAGTGGCAAAAAATCTTTAAATATCCTCTGTACCATTGTGAATTGTCTTTTTATTCATACACTGAAAACATTTGGTGGGAAAAGCAAATGTATTCTGTCACTGATAATTAAACCAGTAAAGTAAGCATGCTGTGGACTGACACAGTTTGTTGAACAAACAAAAGAATGTATTTACTCTTCCTCTCTGCTTTAATTCCCATTACATTACAAACATGTGTTTCTAAATAGAGGATAGAGAAGTACTATCTTTGATCCACTTTTATGTGTCAGATCAAATTTTATGCTTTAAATAGCAAGAAACTAAGAATCACATGGTTATCTAATGACCAAAGAAAGAAATATAATAGATTGAGAAAATAAGAAGTTATTGAAATCTCAACCTGTATCTCAAAATAACACAATGATTTTATTTTTAACACATATTTATGAACAGTTATACTTTTGTTACATGTTTTAATATTAAATTATCATATATTGGCATTTTAACATAATAGCTTTAAGTAATTCAATACTGAGAAGAGTAAAATGAGAGTTATGCAGTAAAAAGAGTTTCTTGTTTTGTGTGCAACAGTCTAGTCGTGTAGAAGAACAGCTAACTGTGCAGCTTCAGGGCCTTCGGGATCAGTGCAACCTTAAAAAGTCCAGTCTTCAGGACCATGTAAGCAGTCTTGAAGTTCTGAGAGATGAGGTATGTATCCGTATCTCCTAAGTTGTAAAACGCGTTTATCACTGTATTAAACACTTTGAGTCCAAGCTTAGTGACTGTTTCAATGAATTCAGAGATACATACATTTCTTCTTGTCCTGCATAGATCCACCTCATGTCTGAGAAGAAATGTGAGCTGGAGCGGAGGTTGCAGTCCCTATTAAGTGAGAGAGAGGATTTGGGATCGGCTCTTGATGAAGCTACAGACCGCATTGTCATGTTGGAACACAAGGCCCGAGAACAAGAACTTCAGGTACCAAGTACTAAATAACTGAGGACAGAACTGTACTTTATTTTTGTATAATTTTCCCCTTTAGTTTCATTCTGTCCTTCCTGGTAGGCCATTGCTAAATAAAGTCTTGGTTTATCCTCTGAAATGGATCCTGGCTGTTATACAAGTGATCCCCAGTGTGGAACAACAGTACACTTTTGATTTAGCAGTATTTACAGAACATTTTATTGACAGTGGAAAGGGCATAAAAATTCATTAGTTGAAAATTGAACCACATTTTCATATCAATGAACACTGCATTAAACATTATGAGCTGAGTCATTCCTTTGCAATTTCAGTTGCACCAAGCTCAGCGTGAGATTGAGGAGTTACGAGCTACAAATGGTTCACTGGGTGAGAGAATTGAAGTGCTTTCAGCCCACAGTTCCTCCCCAGGCCCTCGATCACTCCTGCAAGAGATGGAATGTGATGATACAAGCAGTGAATCAGAGCTGATACCCCATAATGACAGCAGTTCAGAGCAACTAGATGGGGTGAGTTACTAATGCATAACTTTCTGATTCTCAGGTTATAGTACAATAAAGAAATAGCAGCTTTCACTCAATTTTTGGAGGCACGTCCACAATAATGCCTTTAAACAGGTCTTGAACACTTTCTAAAACTGTATCTACTTACAATTAATGTTCATCTTCCCATCCTTTTTGCCCTAAGTGATTTTGAAGTATTTTTTATTGTATGTTTCTCCAATTATGACTGCATGTTTTTCTAAATAAAGTTGTATTCTACCATAGCATAGTTAATTTAAAACAGATATCACATGCATTGTATGTCCTGAATGGGGATTTTTGAAGAAAATAATAGGAAATCACTGACATGCAACAGTGAAATGTGAACGATTGTAAGCACACCTCTTGTTCTCATTCATTAGTGAAGGCCTACTTATACAGAATTTAATAGTTTGTGGGGATTTATTCTGAAATATTTTAATTTTATGCAGGTATTTAATAGGCAAACAGTATGCTCATGGATTAAGGAAAAGGATGCCTTCAATTTAAGTGATATTTACTCTCTGCCTTCAGCTTCAAAAGGAAGTTCTCTCAGCTTACCAGCAGCTTAGAACAGCATGCGATAGACTACGCCATAGCAGAGGAGACTCAGTAAGTTGGGATATGGAGTCCATGATAAGTGAAGATATATCTCCTAGTAAACTCAAGGTATGTCCGAATGAATGTCATTATTAAGCTTGTTTTGACTTGTACTTTGTGCTGGCTTCTTGTTCCCTGTTCATCTATCTCTGTCTTCCTACAACTTATTTTATTCCTATGCTCTTCCATCCTTCTGTGTAATATATTTCCTAGCCTGTTTTCCCATCATGATCTCAGTTTTCCTCTTTGGTATTAGTGTTTTACTTTTATGTTCAAAAACCCTCTCTGTGATACTTTTTTCATTCAGTCTTAAAACATGTCCATATCATGTCATAATCTTCCATTTCATAAATACAGAATATAAGGTTAATTTTACTGTCTGTAGTTAATAAGCTGAAATTCTATGTTGTTAAATATTTAAAATACTGACATGTTTATTCTTTACAGTTTTGAAAGGACTAATAGTGCTGTAGGACATAGTGTGCAAGTATGTGTATGAATGCATGAACCTTTGTGTTCTCTAAAGGGACAGAAGAATTTTCTGACCAGTTGTGGTCTTCTCAAAAACAGCTTTGCTCCATGGAGTCACTTGGTTATTCAGAATAAGGCCCCAACAGAACACTGCATTTTAAACATACAGTTTTATGCAAATATAGTAAATTTTCACAACATTCATCTTTTTGTCAGGTTGGCTTGCTGTCAGAAATTGTAAAGGAACTCTCTAAGTTGATCCAGGAGGTTCTGAGCAGGAGAGAGTCTCGACCCAGTTCATCATCCAGCAGTGGCATTGATCTGGAGCTAGAACTGGAGGCAGAGTTACATAGAGCCAATGAGAGTCTGGAGAAACTGCAAAGGCAGCTTGATGAGCGAGAGGAGGAACTCAAGAGGAAAACAGAGCAAGTCATGGAGCTCACCAGCAAGGTGTGGTAGTTTGATAGAATGGCAAGTTTAATTCTTCCAAATCTTGTTACTTCATGAGTCATTCCTAAAGTATGGTGAAATTATCCACAAAAAGTGCTTGCTGGCAGATTCTTTTGTTTTCCATTAAGTGCTGTTTCTTCCACTGTTTATTATTACATTAAGTGCAGTAGGGGACATTTGACTGTACTGTACTCTACTATGTTACTCGTGACAAAGGATTAAATGCTTTATGCAATGTTCCTGTATTACATAGAGACCACTTTATCTGTTCTGTCATTTTACAAAATTTTTATGTAATGCTTTTTACAGTTGAGTGTGCAAGATGCAGAGTTGGCTGGAATCACAGAGGAGCGTGACAGGGCACGCACCGACTTGGAGAACACCCACCTTTCAAGAGATGAAGTGGTACACAAAGCATGGGAGGTGCGTGATACGGCTGTGGCAAGGAAGAATGTAATCGAAATAGAGTTAGCAAAGACAAGGATAGATGTGATGCAAGCTAATAGCCAGCTGATGGAAGCCATCCAACAGAAAGTCGAGTTGAGTCAGCAACTTGAACAGTGGCAGGTTGGTAATTCTGATTTAATTACTGTCCTGAGTTGAAATTATACAGTCATGAAAAACTGTGAAACTAACGTCATTGAGTACTGATACTCAGATTGTAAAGCAATTTTTCAGCTGGATTCTGTCTGTTTGCTTTTATGTTGTGGTGTGGAAGAAATGAACAGCAATAGGAAACTTTAAAAATTACAAATATTAAATTATTTTTAGATGGACATGCAAAGCCTTCTGGATGATCAAATGAAGCAGAAACTCTGCAGGCAGGAGCGCTTTCGTCAAGCAAACAATTTGGAAAGTAGCAAAAGGACCTCCACAAGGCGACTGTTTGGTCTGTTCCAACGATGATTGCCACAAGCATCGCACCGTGACATCCAGACTTTCAGCTGCAAGAATAACAGTGAAGAGTCACAGGCATTCTCTGAAATTCAAAGTGACTGCAAGTTTTCCTGCCTTCAGGAATGTCTGTCAGAAATAATTTTGTTGGAAACAAAGATTTATTAATAATACTAAAACAGTGAACACTGTGGTTGCAGATGAAAGTAGTGTTAAAAGAATATTTGCCAGAACTGTGATATCTGACTGTGTAAGACTGGGCCTCTGCTTTGAAGATAATGTGGTGGTCAAGATGGGGTAGGTGGGGTATTCAGGGAATTAAAGAAAACATAAATTATTGAATGAAAAAACAAAGCTGAAAACATCAGAAAAATAGCAGGATTGTAACAGATGTAGGTAGTTTTCACATATTTATAATAATAATAAGATAATGTCAGGTTTACATAATCCTTTAGCCTTAATTTAATGTTCCCCACTTTTTATAAATATTTCTTTATTTATTTTTCTCTTTGGATGCTAATGAAATAGCAGTTATACGCTTCATTGTAAATAGACAAGATAAACCTCATTTTAATTTTAAATGTGCCCTTTCCTTTCAGCTTACTGACAATCACTAGACTGTGATAAAATCAACATTAAGGAAATATAACATGAAAAGTTATGCAGTACTCAAGAACTGAGTTGTTTTTTTAGTTGCTCTCAGTAAGATGAACATTATGTTGAGTTAACACATTTACTGCACAGATTTTAGCATCAGTTTAAGTCATCGTAGTTCTAATTGTTTGGGACAGTGGTTAGTATTGTCACAGAAGCATGTTCTTTGAACATTGTTCCCTGTCTGGATAAAAGAAGAATGAACTAATGTTTGGAGCCTAGCATTGTCTGCACTGTTTTCATTCAGTATGCCTAATAGTGAGATCTGACTTTACCTAATGGCCCAACAGAGTGGGTAATATTTCCATTTATTTGAACACAATGACAAAGCCAGCCCTAAACTGAATGTGACACATCTTCATCAGGCAGACAGCAGGTAATGTCCATAGAATAAAGCTGTGTGTCAAGCAATGATTAAATATTTTGATTTTTAGCTAAGAAGCAAGCTTTTGTTGACACTAGATAACAAACTCATTTGAACATAACCTAATATCAATGAAGTACATGTTAATAATTGAACTATGACTACATCAAAACACTGTTCCAGAGGGTAGAATACACAGGTAAATAGTTATAAAATCACAGAGAACTCAGACAGGCATATGCCATTTTGGATTAATATTGAGATAGGTCTACTTTGACATAAAACAACGAATTTATACATCTTGAATATTTAATACACTATATGTAATATGTATAGTGTAGCTGGCACTTGTGAAAGATACACAGAATATTGTTTTATCCACTAATTAAAATAAAAGCACTTGTGATATCTAGATATAAACAAGATTCTTTTGTAGGAGCTGGAAATGCCAGAAGTCTTACCTGTGTGAGTATAAAAGCCTTTATTGGTTATGTTATTTAAATGTATATGGCTATACAACAGTTTGTATTTTTCCATCCTTTCCAATTTATTATTCACTATCATCATCTCATTCAACATTATATAGTCTGAGCTACTGGAAAAAACATTGTTAAATAAACTATAAATGAATATTGGCCAGATTTCCAATGCTAAACTTGTTCATAAAATATGACACCAGGATCTGAGATCCAGTTTAGTTAGATTTATGACTGACAGTAGTTATGCTGGAGCAGGTATTCTCAGGGTCTACCATGTTTCCTGACTTGTTTACTAAATTTTGTGATTGTGGACTGGACTCTCAAGACCATCATACATATCTAGGCTCTTTTCACATTAAAGAGAAACAAATTAATAGGGTAAATAAAGATTTTTCTGTCCTTCAGGCTATACTTTGTAGAGCCCTGTGCTTTGAAATCAGTGTGATGGAGTTCACCTCTGTTCATGAACTTATGATGATATGAATAAAGTGTGTAATGGTGGTGTTCTAAACTTTAATTCCAAAAGTACTTACTCAAGTTATCAGTTATCCTGACTGAAAAATTTCTTTGTCTCTGCAAGTGAATGGTGGGATACAAGTCAGTGTAATTAATCCAGTTTCACATTACATTAATTATAGGATACCAATAACCAAAATTATCTGGCTGCTAAGTAACACAGTGCTTAATAAAAATGTAATCTCTTTCAGTCTCTGTGTGTAAGATAGATATTGTTTATTTGGTATGAAATCTATTATCTATGAAATTATATTTTATAGATAACAGATATAACGATTATACATTTTATTCTGTGAGTGATTTAAATGGCATGGATATGATAACAACATTCTTTTATGAGTTTAAAAACCATATATTTGTTATGTATGAATAAGGAATCTAGGATTTGCAGGTTTTAATACCAAAACAGTAAAACTGTGTTTCAGTGTTACATGTTTGTCATTG